AAAAAAAATTTAAATATAAATATATTATATATATAATTAAATATATTATATATATATATTATATAAATATAATATTATTTTATATATATTTATATATATATAAAATTATATATATATAATTATTAATATATAAAATTATAATAAATATATATATTATATATTTTATAATTAATATATATAATATATATATATATAATATAAAATTTTAAAATGTCGTCCCGAATGGAGAACTTGCCATCTTGGTTTAAATAGCAACGCCATTTTGCCATTTTAGGACAATTTTAAAATTTTGGGTGAATGCAAAAATTTGGGCCAAAATCATTTTTGAAACCAAACAAAAAAAAAATATATTTCACTGTGTTTTTTTGGTTTTTAATTATTGAAAACAAATCAAAAAATTAAAATTTATTTTTGGGTTAGGTTTAAAATAAATTTGGGCTCTTGTTTAAAATAAGGTTAGGAAAGTTTTCTATGATTCTTTTGGGGAAAAATTTAAAAAAATTTTGGGACATTAAAAACTTTAAATAAAAAAAATAACCCTTTCCAAAGAAATAAAAAAAATTTTTGAAAGGGAAAAACCAAATTTTAATTTAAATAAATTTCCTTCCCCTAATTGCCATTTTTCCCAAATTCGGGCTGTTAGTCCTTTTTGGGTTTAGGGGCTTCTTTTTGATTATAAAAAAATTTTCAAATTGGGCACGAATATATAAAAAATATATATATTATTTATATAAAATATATTTTTTATATATATATATTTTATATATATACCACACATAACACACACACACCCACACACACCCCACACAACACACACCACACACACCAAAACCCCAAAGAGACAATCTTTCAAGGGATCTACTCTGAAAAAAATTTTAAATCTTATGTAGTGGTTTAATTTTGGTGATGGTTAGAAATCAGAGAGAGGAGAGAGAGGGGAAGAGAGAGAGAGAATAAACTCCCCTTCCACCCCCTTTGCGCATTGGCCCCATAAAATGATTTAAAGCGGGGTGGTCCGCAGAGTCCTGAAACCAAAACAAGGGCGGAGTTTCCCGGGGGAAATTCCCCAGGTGAAAATGGTGGGGGACGCCCGGTGGTGCTTGAAGCCCCCGGGGGAAAGGGGGGAAAACATCCCCCATTTTTGCTCCCCAACCGGCCATTCCCCAAAACCTCCTTGCACGGCGATGATTTTTTGCTCAGCTGTGACAAGGAGAAGGAGGGGATCGTGATGCCTCGAGTCATGTGATATTATCGAACGAAAAATTTTTGATTATAATAATAAAAATCGAAGTAAAGGGTTTTTCACAACCATTTTCTTCAGTAGTCCTGTAAAAAAAGTTTGAATTTAATTTTTTGATAACAAGGGAAAAAAAAATCTACGTTATGTGGGTAAAAGTTTGGGGGCAGATGACCAGCAGCTCCATCTCTGGGTATTACATGACTGAACCCCGGGCGGGGAAACACTTGTCCAGTTTCCTGAGAAACCTTACCCCAAAAAATATATGTATTTCCACTAACTCCCTCCCTTCCCCCCGAAAACCCTTTTAAGTTAATTAACCCACAACAAAACCCCGATAATAGATACATAGTGAATAAATACCCCGGTACCTATTTACTAGGTTTTCAAAGGGATCAGTGAATATGAATCACAAATCGAAATTTACACGATTGGGAAACAAACCAAACCATCCCCTACCAAAGTTTGCATCCCTGCATTACGGGTTTTGTGAGGGATGTTGACGGCAGGAAGGACTTGAGCTAGAGTTCGGGCACGGGCCCCCTAGCTGGAGATTGTCTGTAAAAATTGCAATTTTTGGTCCCCAGAAGGGGGCCTGTGTAACCTTCCCATGGTGTAGAAAAATTTTCCTCGTTGGAGAATCCTTTTGTGGCTTTGCTGGGCTAGTGGCTAACGCGACGGTCTGAGTTTTTTAGACTCTGACCGGGGTTTTAAATCCCCCCCCGTGGTAAATCAGTGAATAGTAAGTAAATTAATTCAGGTATAACAAATACAGTTACACAGAATACCAAACATACAGCAAAATGTTTTAGGAAAAACCCCGGGAAAAACCCCAAAAAAAAATTTTAGTGACTCATTTCCACTAGCATTTTTTTTGGGGGGGGGGAAGGGGTGAAAAACTTTTTTCCCAAAAACGGGAAAAAGGTCCCTTTATGGGCACTGTTATTGGAATTTTTATTATTAAAATCCCCCCCCAAAAAAAACCCCTAAGCCAAAAAGGGGGCTATACAAACGCTGCAAACTGCTTATTGGTCAATTTCTCCCCCAAAAAACATGAAAAAAAACCTTTTATATACAGCTTCCATGGAAGTTTTGAGAGCTTTTATAAGTTTTGCCGTAAAAGGCAAACCCAAGGGCAGTTTAAGAATTTAAACGAGAGAAAACATCATTTTTTCAAGTTAAAAGGTCTCTTTTTATTTTTCAGGTTCATATTCTTAAATAGCATAAAAAAATTTCAGAGTTTTTTTTTAAGCAAATTTTTTGGTTCTTTTTTCCCAATTTTTAAATTTTTTCTCGTTTTTTTTTTAGTAAATTTTTTTTCATTTTTTTTATAATTTTTAGTTATTTTTCTTATTTTTAAGTAATTTTGAAAATCCGGCCGAAAACGAAGAAAAACTCTTATAGTCCAGAGATTTAATCGTAATATTAATTGTAATATTAACCTCATGAGAATATTTATTTTACAGTTTTATTCTTCAAATAGAAACTTAGTTTTGAGAAACAGTAATTCCGTGAGCCATTTAAGGCAATTTATTAATTTTAAAATAGTGAGGCAGCTGAGTCTGCACTTCAAACACAAGTGTTAAGAGCGAGGTCACATAACGTTGAAAAAATGTAGCCACGTTGCTTTTATCTTTTAAAAAAATGCAAATTTGTCAGGCACTAATGTGCTGTCACTGTACTGTTATGTACTCTCATTTTAGTTCAATGTGCTTTCATTTTACTTTTAATCCCTATTTTAGGGATTAAAGTATTCTTGACTGAACAGGTTATGTGCAACCTTAACGACTCTCATGTGGTCGATAAGCTTGAAACCCTATTACCCAACCATCAACATTCAGCGAAATCTTAATCTGAACCCAATTTTAGAGATTACATTATTCACGAACAGTAGACAGATTTTCATCATCCTCGTGTAGTAAACAGGACTTAAACCACATTAACCAACAACCCAGTGTACATCGAGGTTTCTTGCAGTTTTATGAGTATTGTGTACGTGATGCTCGACGTTTCATACATATTTTACAATACTTCTCATTCATCATCATATTACTGAGACGAATACAAACGTAAACACTGAGAGATTAATTAATTTAATGGGGTAAACTACATGTAGTGTGTTCATCACCAAACACGAGAATTTTAGTCTCGTATACATTCATATATACACTGAATGACATACACCTCTCGGAATGATTCACGTAGGTTTAGCGCTTCACACACAAAAAAAACTAGACTTAGGGAATAAGAACCGGTCTAAAATCAAGTACCCTTTGAGTGTTTACTCATTATGATGCAGTAACAACCCTGACTGAAAAACCTCTCGCATGTCTTGTAAATCTGTTATTCGTACAATTCTTTGCTGTTAAAAAAACAAATGCTGGTTTACCAAGGAAAGCAGAATTAAATGAAAGATAACCTACGCTATTTCAAGCACTGTTGATTTTGACACCTACGGTATTAGTGATAATAAAGTACTAGTATCACCACCATCACCGCAACAATTATTATTATTATTATTATTATTATTATTATTAATGTTACTGTTGCTACTACTACTACTACTACTACCACCACAGCCACCACTACTGCTACAACCACCACCATTACTGCTGCAACTACTACTACTACTACTACTACTACTACTACTACTAATAATAATAATAATAATAATAATAATGAGAAAAAACGAAACACACAGAGGTGAGCATCAGCATATATACGCTGGGAGTTTTCCTTAATCAATCCCTATTTTGCTGTATAGCCCTTGTGGCTTAGCGCTTCTTTTTGATTATAATAATAATAATAATAATCCCTATTTTAGAGATCAAAGTATTCCTGACTGGCTGTGAAACAGTGACAAGCAAACTTCATGATCCTTTAAATATCAGATACACTTTAAGCCCAATTACTGAAACCGTAAAACGAACAAAAGCGTTAAAAAATATTGAAAAGCTCATTGGATGCGCTGCCGCTTCCGCCACGAGCCATTCCTACACGTTAGATATGTTTCATTACACCCGTTTCCCCTGTTCTCCTAACAGTAAGTAGGTACCTGGGTGTCAGCAGACTACTGTGGGTCTGCTGACCAAAGGACCAAAGATCCCAGTGGAAACAGAAATAAGCCATATAGTATGGCTTTCTTTGCATATCCTGGGCTACTAACCCAGGTAAATAAACAGAATCAAATCTATTATTATAGGCTTTGAGTGAGTGGTTAATGGGTCATTAAAGTTGCACGAAACTTGATCTCCACGAATCTAGAATATCTTACTTTCTTAAATAGCAATGAAAGTAACCTCTCACTGTATATATAGTTACTTCACAACCAACAGCGAAGGTATATCTATAGTTAATTAAGGTTAGTCACCCACACAAGCCTTAACTGTTCTTAGCAAGATTATTGTATAAATTTATACTACGGGTTGCAAAATCATTTGCAGATTTTCCAGAAATGAAAAAAAAAATATTAAAGTGACCGCAACGTCGCAGTATAGACTATAAGGCATCTTGTTTTTAGTGATAATTCAACCGTTCGAAAAGGTTAGTATAATGATAATTTTTGCCATTTCTATCCTTCGATATAGATTTTTTTATTATCGAAGTTTATAAAATTAATAATAATTTTTTTGATAATAATAATATATGAATTTATAATAATAATATATAATAAATAATAATTTAAAGAACCCCAATGGAAATAAGTTACAATGACTATTACCCATACTGTACTAATGTTGTATGTGTATAGCACATGTATACCTTCATACAGTAACTGTTGTATAATCTTACATTGCTGCCGGTAAAATATTCGTCGATTCTCCTGAACAGATTGTCTTCATAATCACTGTCGTTGTTTTCTGTGCTGGACTCGATGGCTTAGCTTCAATAGTTTCCTTGTTACCTACTCCCAGCTTACCTGAAGTATAAGATTGAGGGTGGCCTTCGAGTGCTGCCTGAGAAACGTCGGGTCGTGTTGCTTGATGCCCATCTGCTGCATGATCTTTCTCATCTCCTCGGCGCTACGCATGACGGAGGTCTGTAGCCGCTTCGACTTAAGGGCCTTGGTGATGAAGTTGGCCACCATCACCCAGTAACCCAGCCCGATCAAGGTCCACAGGATGACGCAGATCTGGTACACGTACAGCGTCCCTCCCTCGAAATGTCGACCTGTAGGTAGAGGTGTGAGTGTACTCACCTAGTTGTATTCACCTAGTTGAGGTTGCAGGGGTCGAGTCCAAGCTCCTGGCCCCGCCTCTTTACTGGTCGCTACTAGGTCACTCTCCCTGTACCTTGAGCTTTATCATACCTCTGCTTAAAGCTATGTATGGATCCTGCCTCCACTACATCGCTTCCCAAACTATTCCATTTCCTGACTATTCTGTGGCTGAAGAAATACTTCCTAACATCCCTGTGACTCATCTGTGTCTTCAACTTCCAACTGTGTCCCCTTGTTGCTGTGTCCAATCTCTGGAACATCATGTCTTTGTCCACCTTGTCAATTCCTCTCAGTATTTTGTATGTCGTTATCATGCCCCTCCCCTATCTCTCCTGTCCTCCAGTGTCGTCAGGTTGATTTCCCTTAACCTCTCCTCGTATCACATACCCCTTAGCTCTGGGACTAGTCTTGTTGCAAACCTTTACACTTTCTCTAGTTTCTTTACGTGCTTGGCTAGGTGTGGGTTCCAAACTGGTGCCGCATACTCCAATATGGGCCTAATGTACACGGTGTACAGGGTCCTGAACGATTCCTTATTAAGATGTCGGAATGCTGTTCTGAGGTTTGCTAGGCGCCCATATGCTGCAGCAGTTATTTGTGTGTGTGAAACGCTGGAGGTTTCCTCCTCCTTGATCCTCTGAGCCTCTAGATGGGAGTGTGTGTCTTGATCTGTCCATGGTGTGTGTGCCTTATTATTATTATTTATGGGAAAGCGTTAAATCCGTTAGGATCATATAGCATCTTGTGTGAGTATGCAAAGTTCCAGAAGTTTAGCAGTACAATAGTGCGGGACTATTTGGGGTAGTTCAAGAACTGATGAGGATCAGAATGGTTGGAAAATTGGTAAATTTTTGAGTGGGAAATAGCTGGGGATTTCTAGAAGGACCTAATTAGACTTTTTTATTAAGTGCGAAAATAATTATTTTGAAGCAGTAAGCCTGTGTGGGTCTTTTCAGCACATGAAGGTGTGGTTGCTCGACGTTCCGTCAGTTAATCATGGGACAGAACATTCAGTAGCCTGTTTCTTGAGGAGGGAAGGGGAGGTTTGTGGCTACTTAAGACATTATACGATCTAAGGGAGATGAAATACATTACCATTAAACACAAGCAAGGTGATCTTATTTTAAGTGTCAGGAGAAATTTCCACGAAATGCGGGTCTTACTATATTCCGCCCACTCACGATGGTCATAAGACCTAAACTTTCTGCTGGCTTTCCGATTCACTCCCATTTCCTCAAAGTTTGTGCCATCATACGGGTGATGGGGCCCTTGATTCACAGAACCAGACCCCGTAAAAATAATTCAAGATCACCTCATCAAAATACCACGGCACATCGCAGTTAGTTGTGACCGGGTGTGGACGTGTGAATTGCTCATTGCTCTATAATTTGATTGTAGCCATGTAAAAACGTAAGTAAGTAACTTTATTTTACAGGATTCATTACCTTTGTAATTTGGGGTGTTCACTCCCTTTGTACCTAGTTCAGCTATCAAAACTTTGGGGGCCCAGTCCAAGGACCCATTATGTACCTCTGTAATCTGTAAATACCTTTGTAACCTGTTTAATTTTGTGCCCAGTTCCTGGATTCATTATTTGTACTCTTTAAAACTTTCCCTTCCCCCCTTATGTCCTTGTTCTTTGGACTCCCGCCCCAGGATGGGTATAGGTGCATAAAAACATATTAAACTAAATAAATCGAGATTTAGTTTCCGGGATCTCTTAAACGCGTACACACTCCAGGAAGAAAGAGGGTACCAACCTGTTACGAAGTCACCAAAGCCTATGGTTGTGAGGGTGATGTAGGCGAAGTAGATGCCTTCAATATAGGACCACTGCCCCGGGGCCCATGAACACTGCTCCGGGGATGAAGATGAACACAACGAAGCCCAAAGGCAATGTAGAGGAAGTTAGCCAGGGCGATGACCCCACGAGACTGTTGCTTTTGCACGTCCAACTGGTGGCAAGGAGAGTTTGATGGTGAGAGTGATGGTGGGAGCGGTAAAAGTAATAATGGTGGAGGTAAAAGTAATAATGGCGGTGACAATAGTGATACTGAAGGTGTTAGTGATGATGCTATTGATGACGATGATAATGGTGGCGATGGTACTGACTGTCGCAGTGGTAACAACAGATGTGGTGATTAATTCAATTGAGAATTCCAATTCCTTTGACGAAAATACAAAGCTTCTCCCAAGCACGTTTCTTCTAACGTCTGACAAACCGGCAGATCACTGACCAAGAGTGAGGTTCATTGCTCCTAGGTGGTAGTGACAACACTGAAATGGCGCTCGTCACCTACTGAAAGGGGGGCGGTAAGAGCGTCCATGAATTTGCTGAGTTTGATGAACATGCCATAGCCATGTAGCTCTCCTTGACAGAATGCTGACATATGGACTGGCTGGTATCACTTTCGCTCTGCCTCAGGCCTACGATGTCCAGTTGGGGTTGTGTTCTCATTACTGTCCTCATATTTCTCTTGGAAAGCCCAGAGTCACTAGAGACCTCCTCCTCTGGCGGCATACACTCTTCTCAAGTGTTCTATCATGTCTGAAGGCCAATATGTTAAGTAATCCACACGTGGACTGTAAATATGATGTTTATAATTGTACCATTCTCGTTCCTTGCCTCTAACACCTGGAGTTTAGAATAATTATATCTAGTGAGAGCCGCAGTTAATGTATCAAGGTTAGAAGAGTTGCCGCGCAATTCTCATAACAAAGAAAATGGAGAAATTTGAGTGCATGGAGCATAGCGAACAATCCAGCTCTGAAGGATGGAAGCATGATTATTAAAGGCAAAAAAGGCTCCAACTGCGAAGCCACTGTGGAAGGATTCCAGGTTACTCACCCTATACGTCGGTCCCTTTTAAAATTTGAGGCACGGCGCCTTAAAAACCAGTTCGGTTTAATAACCAACTCTATCAGTGAAAATTTTAATATTTTCATTTTTAAAGGTACGGGGTTTGATAAAAAAATCTTTTCCCAAAAGTACAAAAACCCCTGAAAAAATGGGAACCCAACTTAAACCTTTGGTGAGTTGGTCAGTTGTAATTTCAACCCCTTTTAAATTTAAATTTTTTCCTGGTTTTTCCCTTTAAAACCCCAATCCCAACCCCCAATTCTACGAGAATCATTCACCCGGCCCTTTGTCTACCTTGGGAAGGTTTTGAAAGGGCTTTTTCACCCCCGTAATTTTAGAGGTTTTTCCACGAAAAGGGGCCATTTCCAATTAAAGGGCCAACCAAGGAGTAGAGAAACAAACCTGGGCTCTTATATTTTGCCTATCCTTTTAGAAAGCGGATCTCAATTTTGTTATTGGAACCTTTTGTGGGGTTCTTACGTGCTCCCAATCTTTTGAAAACCTAAGATTAAAAATCTCATTTTTTTTAGTCATAACCTTAACAAGAAGGCGCAAAAAAACTGAATTTACTGACCCCTGAAACCCAAACTCCGGGGGTAACCCCAGAAGAGCGGAAGGGCATCCAAACACCAAGCCTATCATATGCCCCCTTCTATGTCGGAGATTTTGAAAGAAAACACTTTGGGAAACCCGACGTTAACTATTTTATGAAAGGCTCCAAATTTCATCTTCAGGGAAAAAATTTTTCCCCAATTAAGGTAAAAATTAAGAAAAGCAAAGAGAAATAAGGAAGGAATGAGATGTAATCATGGACGCCTAGATGGCAAGGAGAGACAGAAGATTTAAGAAGCCACAGGTGCCGAGCAACCAGTTACCTATGGTGATGATGGGGAACTAGTTACCTATGACAGTGATGAACTAGTTACCTATGGTAGTGATGGGGATCTAGATACCTATAGGGTTGATGAGGATCTAGATATCTATTGTGGTGGTGAGGACACGTGGCGTTGGTGGTGGGGAACTAGTTACCTATGGTGGTGATGGGGAACTAGTTACCTATGGTGGTGATGACAGTCATGGAGAAAGTGAGGGCGTCGATGAAGCTCCATGGGTAGCGGATCTCGACGGTCACGTTCTCCAGGTGAAGGTGAGGACACACTCGCTCCACCTCCGTGATCTGACGATCCTGCCTTCCTGTAGGTGCAGGAGGAGGCTAGGTTACCTTCTGCCAGAGATTTAAGCTTTCCTAGGAAGAGATAAATGATTCAGAAAACCGACAAGTTAAAGAATGAGACATTTGCGCAACATTTGGGGAACTTTACTGAGGGAACGTTTCGCCAGTCAGTGGCTTCTTCAGTCCAATACAAAGAAGAACGGTGGAGAAAAAGAGGAGTAGTTTGAGGTAATCAGTCCCTCAGCCTGGAATCGATGTGTTCAGTCCATCAGTCGATTGGTGGACTGAAGACATCGATTTCAGGCTGAGAGACCGATTACCTCAAACTCCTTCCCATATTCCACCATTCTTCTTTGTAATGGACTGACGAAGCCACTGGCTGGCGAAACGTTTCCTCAGTAAAGATTCCCAAATGTTTCACAAGTGTCTCAGTCATGAACCTAAGAAGGGAGAAGTGCTGCAGTAAGTCAATTAACCTACACCGGACATAGTTCTACACACCTACGTGTAAACGAACACAGTTTTTGCAATTAACACAGGTGTGAGATTAACATACATGTGCTAAAGTTTAGCCCATATACGTTAATTATGAGTTAGTTTAGCAGCTAAACTAACTCATAATTTGTGAAATCAAACAGAACATTGTTGCCTGGGGCAATGTTGACAGTTGTCCCCCTCTGACACTTCCCAGTTTCTGCTTGTTCCGGTTTCGGTTTGATTTGCATCGCCAACATGCCTCTGTCCATCGCATCAGACTCATCGCCACAAGAGACACTGCCATAGTTAATCACTGACCGCCGCTTCCAACACTCTTGTACCGAAATCCTGTAATTTTAGCATGTCAACCCTGCTGACCAACTTGTCGGTACCCAGACAACAAAGCTCCTAGTCAGCGAAACGTTTTTTTAATATGTTTTTGTGCTGCACAAGCGTTGTAATTACGGAAGGAGCTGGGATCAATCTAAGGCGGGACAAGACGAGCGAGTAAATCTCATAACCTTGCGGATTTCCGCTTGATTCCTGCCACAATATATGCTCGTTTTTCAGTTATCTCTGTATTAGGACTGAAGAAGCTACTCGTGGCGAAACGTTTCCTCTAATAAATGTCCTGAACTGTATATATAGTGTCTTTTTCCACATCTTGTCTCTACCACCATACCATTTCTCACAGCCCCTGCTTACCCCTCTTCCCCTGGCAGTAAAACTGATACCACCCCATCCTCGGAAGATTGCTGAGGACCGCGGAAAAGGCTACACTGATGGTTTTCCCAGTCTTAATCCCAATAATCTCTCCGTCTACATATGTCATTACGCCTGCGCTGAGATACATCTTTCCATAAACAGTTTTAAGTAATATCATAAAGTCGACATTGTATACCTTGTATATGTATTTGTAGAAATGAAGGATTATTGTTATTAATTATTATTATTATTTTACTCCCTGTGCAAGTTGGTTGTTTGCATAATCTTTTTTGTCCCTAAGTGCTTCGTGGGTTGTGGAGATAAATGGTATAAACTACTGACACGATAGAACAAACACAGATGCAGTGTGATGAGACCCTTTACTGACAGTGTTTCGCCCTCCCGTACGATTTTTTTAAAATCACTTGAAAAAAGCGTTGTTTATAAAGAATCGAGTTGCACGGGAATTTGTCTCTCTCTGTCATGGGTTAATGTGTGTGTGTTGAGAGTCTCCTATGTGCTGAGTGTGACGTGAGTGTTTGTGTGTAGGAGTGAATCTTCAAAGTGTCTTCTAGTGAATGTGCCGGGAAAACGTTTCCACGAATAAAGGTTTATCGACGTTTCTCTTTAGTGCGAGTGCTTTCAGATTTGCTGTGTTTCCTGAGTGTCTTGAAACAACCTTGAGTGTGTTTTAAAAGACAACTTAGTGTGTCCGTTTACAAGGATAAGGACGAGAGAAAGGCTAAAACAAACACCACTCCAGTCAGTGTGGTCAAACATGAGACTTCCGCACACGCCCCCAGCAAAGGGGGGGCAGGAGCTGTGACTCGGCCCCTGCAACCACAAATTTCATATTGGCCACATGTTTCAGAGATGGGACACAGCAACAAGGAGTTATTTAAATTTTAATATGTTTATTATGCACCCATACCCATCCTGTGGGCGGTAGTCAAAAGATTAGAGGTACATAATGGGTCCCGGGACTGGGCCCAAAAATTTTTTATGGCTGAGCAAGTTACAGGGGTAATGAATTACAATTTACAAAAGGGAATGAACTCCCGGTAGGTCTAGTCACAATCATGACAAGTTACAAAGGTATTAAAAGATTATAGAGGTACACAAATGGGTCAGGGACTGGGCCCCAAAGTTTTGATGGCTGGAACTAGGTACAAGGTAATGAACTCACAAGTTACAAAGGTAATGAATACTGTAAGAATGGTTACTTGCGTTTTACATGGCTACAATCATGAACATATTTTAGGTAATGAGGAATTCAAAACTTCCACACCCGGTCACAACTGTAGTGAGTTATTGGTGCAAATATTGATTGTTGAGTCACACACACCACACACACACAACCACACACACACACACACACACACACACATACACAAACTCATACACACACACACACCTCATACACCACACACACCCTATATACACCCACACACACACGCACACTCATACCCCATACACCGCACACAAAACACACACGCACACACACGCACACACACACAGGAGCTTGGACTCGACCCCTGCAATCTCAATAGGTGAGTGCACCCCACACACAAACACACACACACACACACAAACACAAAACACAAACAAACACACACACACACACACACACCACACACACACACACACACACACACACACACACATTACATAGATGCACTTGATAAAGCACGGGCAAGAAAAACTAGAGAAAGTACAAAGGTTTGCCACAAGGTTAGTTCCCGAGCTAGGGAATGTCTATGAAGAAAGATTAAGGGAAATCGGCTGACGACATGGAGGACAGGAGGGTCAGGGGGAGCATGATAACGCCCTATAAAAAAATGCGGGGAATAACAAGGGGGCCAAAGACAGGATTTTCCCAGGGAGGGGACACAAAAAAAAGAGCCACAATTGGAAGTTGAAGACACAAATAAACCCGAGAGATAGTAGGAAGTTTTAACCATCATAGAGTTGAAAGGGCAGTGGAAAAGCCTAAAAATACGTAGTGGGGGCAGAACCATACCCAGTTTTAAGAGGGTTTTTGATAAAGCTCTTTGGAGGGGGGAAAAGAGAGGCCTATAGCAACCGGGGGAAGAGGGGGGGCCAGGAGCTGGGACTCGCCCCCCGGAAACCCCCAAAAATAAGTGAGTACAAATAGGTAGTAAAACACACACACACACACACATGCACATTGTGTAAGGCTTTATTAAAAGCTAGCAAAGTCGGGAAATTTCTCCAGAATGGCCCGGTAAAAACCACTGTGGATAAAAACTTCCATTTCTTGAACACTTCTGATGGGGTTTTTTCAAATTTTTTTAAAATTTTTAAATGGGCACTCCAGTACAAAATGACGCCAGGGTTGAAATAGCCCAAATCGGGAAATTTTTTCCCTTTTTCCTTTTGGTCCCCCATCTGGGTGGTGTTTTAAACCCCCAAAAAGATACTTGTAACCCAAGCCGGACCGGAAATAGTGCCCATCCAAGAGTCGCTTATTTTTTTGGGATGCCCCCATAGACAGTGGCTCCTCCTGCATGATAAATATGATAGATGGACCACTGGTGCCAATCCCCCTTGACCCCCTTAAGCCCCAAAAAATTTCCCATTTGAAGTTCTTTTGGGTTTTATTGTTCTCAAACTACAACCTACAAGCCAAGTTTGTAATCTCCCCACCCTCTTTAAAAGGGAAATACAGCTTACCCAAATTTTATCAGTTCTATCATGCATCTAAACCAAGGGGAGATGGAATCCACAGCATGTGCACTCTGACTCCACTGCCACAAAACCTCCCCTACCCTTTTCCCGGGGTTTTTGACCCAACATGCCACAATTTTATGCTTAAAAGAGTTTGGGCATTTATGGATGACAAGAATCAAATTACAATTTAAAAATTCCCAAACTTTTATACATAGAAACATTTCATTTCAAGGAGTATGGCAAAAAAGTTCTTTCTGAAGGGTAGAGGCCCCAATTTTTGATCGTGCTCCAAAATTTTTTTAAGAGAGCCATCACCCGTACGACCCAAAACCGCACTACCACTGCACCAGTGGAATTTGGGGAACAGAACCATCCCGCGTAAAAAATTTGGGGAGAGTTTTGTGCCGGTTTTTTAATTATCAATACAGCTTAAGGCCTCATTTTTGGGCTTCAAGGGGGAAGTTTTGGTTGTGTTTAAGGAAAAAGTTGGGGGGGAAAAAAAGGAATGGAAATTTGGAATAGGGGAAAAAAACCTTAGCGGAAAGTGGGCCCCTGTTTTCCTTTCTTGACATAGATCATGTATCTGATTTATGCGGGTCGGTTTTCCCGTTTTTTCGAACCTCTAGAGGAAATTTCAAAAACCCGTGCTGAGGGAAAATCTGGAGGGGTTCTGTTAGGGGTTTTTAAAGACTTGCCTGAGCATTTAAATTAAAAACCCCCAATTTTTGGGGTAAATTTTTTTCAGTAACCGATCCTATTCTTTGGGAAAATCAAAGTTCTTTTTGGGATATTTTTAAAATTTTTTCATATTTAAAATTTCATTGCCCTTTGTTCTGCAGTTTTTTCCACCCTCCAACTTCCCGTCAACCCCAAGAGCAATAGTGGGGCAAATAAAAAAAAACCCAAAGATCTAATATAAGCAAGAAACCAATTTTTCACCAATTTAAAAATTACACCAAACCCGGGGGAAAGGCCCCCGCCCCCCAACCAAATGCTCTTAAATCTTTCTTTGTATTGGGGAAAAAAAGTCTTGTTAAAAACAGGTCCAAGTATGGGAAACCTCAAAGCCTAGATACCTTTTAAAACGCTTTCATATTCTAAAGAACCATCAAAGGGAATTTGGGTCTGACGAAAATGTGCCTCTCTT